GAGACGCGCCCATCGTGCATCCTTGCTGGTTACCGAGTCTGCCGACTAACTGACGAAAAATAGGAAGTCGGTAGTTTTCTAAACAAACATGTTATTGAAAAGTAGTGAGAAGTATGTTTTTATAATGTGATTATGCCGCAAAGTCCTTTCGGTAACCGGCAGTTTATTTTCGGGGACGTAGTGGCCATAGGGTCTAATTTAAACGTTAAACCTGTCGATATAAAGACGACACTTTCGTTATAATCGAACGGTTCAGCCTAGCAGACTTCCAAAACTTGCGTAACAGCATCTTCCCCGACATCCAATTCACAAAGGAAGAAAATAATGTCGGACAACTGCCTTTCCTGGACGTCCTCATCACGCGCAGACCCAATGGGGAACTCAGCACCACGGTTAGCAGAAAGGTAACTAACACAACCCAGGTGCTCAGCTTCCACAGCAACCACCCAATGGCGCCTAAATGCGGTACGATTTGAGTACTCTTTCACAGGGTAAAACACACTGCAGTGAACCTGAAGGACGAGTGCGAGAACTACGACAGTTGGCCAGGAATGCATACCCGAGCAGCTTTGCCAGCCGCTGCCTCCATACGCGCCACCAACACCCCGGCACCCCCTACCGTACAAAAAATGTGTGAGAAACAACTGAATTTATCGTTGTAGAGCTCGATTTGGGTGTTCCTCATCGTCGGACAGCTACCAAGCGTTGAAAGCTTATACAAATGAAAGACCCACTGGAGGTAGTTAGGCAGTCTGGTGTTGTTCATCAAGTACCATGTCGCGACTGTTCTTGCCATTATACAAGGCATACCGGACGATGACTTAGCTTGCGAATAACGGAGCACAACCGGGCATTGCGGAAAGGCAACCCACTCTCCTAGATCATTACTCACACTCTGGAAGAAGCCCACAAATTCGGCTTCCTAGGCACGCGGATAATGGCACGCCCTGTTAATAAGACGGGACGGGAACTACTGGAGGCCTGAGTTACAAGCTCCAGTCCATTAACATGCCGTACTATTTTGTCCCCCGTGCGCGCGACCAAGAAACACGGTCCAGTCCGTGTCCAGGCGCGCACGCTGCCATGCCAAAGACGCAAGACACGGTGCCAAGGCCGCACGCCATAACCCCAAAGACACACGCAGATGACGTGAGCATGAACAAATCACGAGTGCGCTCCCTGCCCACTCTCCACTTATTCGTAGCCAGACTTCAAAACATGCCAACGTTTGCTGTCTTTTCATCTTCTCTGACGATTTCCGTATGTGTGAAGCTGAAGGTTCAGACTAATGCAACTGCCATCCCAATGATCGCTTCTTTTTCGTCTATACACCGTATCTCAAACTTCACTTAGATGACTGCAAACGAACTACTGTTTTGATTTCAATTGACCGATTTGTTTACATAGTCATAGCCATGCGGAATCCGAAACGTATTGTTTACGTCAATTGTAACGCTGATGGAAATGTCATAGGGTAAATGCAGTGAGCGTGTTCTTCGTTCTTACTTCGTAAATGACGCACCTTTTTAACATTTTTTAAGCATTAGTTTAGTGCATTCTGCATACTAAAACAAAAGGTAACAATTTTGCAATTAAGTCACTGTTTAAATGGATTTTTCTCAGAACCTTTGACATTTACTGCAAAAACCCCGATTGACTGAACAAAATGGCCTGCAAGGAATATAACCTAAAGTAGGGAAAAAATGAGTAGAAAAAGCAAACAAAAATTAATAATTGAGGATACTGACTATTTATTAGAGACAGAAATGAAAAGGCGTAGCTAGTGTACACGACGGGGCAAGATGCGGCCAGCGTTGGCAATATGCATAACAATTACTTAGTTTGATTAAAATATGTTATCACGCGCGCCAAGGGGTTCGATCAGTCGTGTTTGGAATCTCCTTTACTGGGTATAGGGTTCACGTTTTTCCTACTTTCCGCATCTGAGTTGGGTGTAGTTTCAAGGATCTAGTTAATGTAGATTCGCTAGGGCAGGTATCTCCTATACATTCTGTGGTCCACTCTTATATCCCATTTCAGGACACTATGTCAGTGAACTTCAGGATGGATCACTCGGAGGCTTTCGTATTCATGTGCGCGTTCAATTACTTACAAAAGGAAATATTCTGCAATTTCACGCCGGGTTTCAAACAGTAGCTGCCTCACAAAGATCGCCTTTTTGCGACAACAAGCTGCCT